GTAACCAAATCAACTAACGAAAATTAAATGTTAGTTTTACCCTTCTAGTCTAATTGTACTCTACAAACATTATAGGGATAGTTCACCCCAAAATTTAAATTCTGTCATTATTTACTCACAAAATATTTGGATGAAATCTGAGAGCTATCTGACCCTCTATAGGCAGCAACACAACTTACGTGTTCAAGGCCCAGAACAGTAGGTAAGACATTATTAAAGTAATCCATGTGACTCCAGTGGTTTAACCTTAGTTTAATCCATTTTGTCTTCTGTCACATGAACACATCACTCATGCGCTGTGATGCTCTCGTGAACACACACTGCAGATCAATATTTTTATAAATAAGTGGTAATTTCGTTTATTTATTTATTTTTATTTGTTATTATTATTATTATTTATTTTATTTTTTTTGCACAAACAAAGCACTCATGTCCCTTCATAAAACTGAGGGAAATCAACTGGAGACACATGGATTACTTTAACAATGTCTTTCCTACTGTTCTGGGCCTTGAATGTGTAAGTTGCCTATAGAGGGTCAGAAAGCTCTCAGATTTCATCTAAACTATTTTAATTTGTGTTCAGAAGATGAATGAAGGTCATTGAATGAAGGTCTTTTTGACATTGTTCTTTGGGGAGGAATTCCATCTTTGAGTTGATTTGAATCTCACCGTACAAACTACTTAAACGTAAAGCTTTAAATCCGTCCCTCCCGAACCTATAACAAAAGTGTCCCTCGCGGGTCAAAATGACTCGAAGGCCAAAAATGACACTAATTTTATTTTTACCTTTTATCTTAAATACACATAGAAGGTAATCTGGGAAAACTGAAACCGGTGGAGTAATAAATCAAAAACCATGGAAACTAATGAGGGAACACCTGGAATCCATAAACATAATTGAACATGAGGGAAAACTGGGTCATGGAAAGCACGTGGGGGAGGGAAACACAAAACACTGACATTAAGTCTGACAAACAGGCAGTTAAAGCACATAGACAGCATTGTCATTTTGCTTGATAAAAATGAAAAAAAAAAAAAACCTGTGTTTTCTAAAAAATGAGCCCAAGGGAGCATATATAAAGAAAACAAAATGGGGGCAATAATAAATCCTTGGGGAACCCCGCAGGTAAGACATGCTTTGGAAGATAAACATCCATTTATATAAACAGAAAAAGTTATATTGTTCAAATAGGATTTGAACCAGTTCATTGCATGACCTTTAATACCTGCACAGTGTTCAAGACGAGAAATAAGAATGTTATGATCGACCGTATCAAAGGCCACACTCAAATCCAACAGCAGAAGTATTACAGCGTTCCCAGAATCAACAGATTATAAAATATAATAAAGACTCAATTTGACTCTAAAAATGTAATAATTGGACAGAAACTACACTGTAAAAAATAAACTGTTGAGAATACTTTAAAAAGTAAGGCAACTTAATGCAGTAAGACTTTTGAGTTGTCTCAACAATTATTTTATAGTTATTCTAAGTAACAATACTGCGTTCAGCCAACCTAAATTTCTTTGTTCATGCAATGATGATTGTCTTATTTTGCTAATAAAGTTATTCTTGTCACAGCAACTGAAACAACAAGTACTGTTGTTGAGTAAACTTATTATTTTCTGTTTCCTGGATGAAAAAAAAGAATGTGTAAATAGTCACCACATTACCATTTTTACGTCTATTTACGCATGACAAAAAATGACTTTTTGTCATTAAAATTATAAAGACGGAATCAAGAACATAATGGAATGTGATAAACCACAATGGACAACATTGTCTTTGTTTATAAAGCGTCCTACAAGATTAAGATATCCAGAATATAGGTTTAAGAGGTTGATCATAATCTAGACCTCAATACTTGACACACAAACCTCAAGAACGGTGGCAATCAACAAATGTAAAAAAAAAGATAAGCTCTTTAAATCACTGCACAACAAACAACTAACAATAATGACAAAACAACAACGGAAAAGTTTGAATGAAGCCAGCAAACAGCAAAGCAATAACCCTATAACAGTATCTGCATAATTTATTCATATTGCAATGCATGCTGGGAACTCACAAAGCCTTAACATTTCAGCAATATAAAATTCTTTGTTCAGACAACTCTGTTTGACTAGTTGGGACAACATTTGGGGTCTGACAAAAGTTTTTATGTTCAATTCTGTTGGTCTAACAAGGATTTTTATTTATTTTTTTAGTATTTGAGACTCAAAAGGTTTTGTAAGCTGGAAAATATGCAGTTGCATTTTTTACAGTGTACCTTCTCAAGGATTTTAGAGATAAAGGGTAGATTAGAAATTTGCCTAAAATTTTAAAGAACTGTCGCATCAAGGTTAGATCTATCAACAGAGGTTTAACAGTATATTTAGCATGCATTAAATATTCTGGAACAAATTCAATGGAAAGATTCAAATTTATTATTGCTAAGATACAGGGTTCAATGACATCAAAAACCTGAATAAATAGGTGTGCTGGAATAATGTCAGTTACCGATGTGGTTAGTTTTAACTTCATAACCAGTTCATGAAGAGAATCTGTCGAGATGGTCTCAAAAGCATTATTAAAAGATGAGGTGCAAACCGGAAGAGAGGAGGGATCATAGTTTATGGGGACAATAAGCTGTCTAATGTCATGTATCTTGTTTGTAAAGCACCTTAAAACACATTCACAAGCAGTATCTGGGTCATCAAAATCCAGATCAATAGAAGGATTTCTAACCGAGTTAACTGTGGAGAACAAAATCTTGGGTCTTTGATCATTTCTAGCTATGATGTCAGAGAAATACTTTGATTTAGGGTGTATTCACACCAGGAAAGTCCACTAGTTCACTTGCTTTGGTCCGGACCAAAAACAATGTTGATTTTTTTTGTTTGGTGCGGTTCGCTTTCACACTGCCCTTTTTGCAAGTGAACCAGAAATTGTAAACAAAACAACACGTGTGCTTAAGGTCATCCATTCATTGGTTCATCCATTCAACCGTACCAGAGTTCGTTTGGAAGCGGACCGAGACCACCTCTTCAGCTGGGTCTCAGTACGGTTGTTTGGTCCGCACCCGAGTGCGATTGGTGTATTCACACCTGCACAAAAGATCTGCACCAAAGGGGGAAACGAACGTCGATTCAATCGAACCAAACAAGGCAGGTGTGAATACACCCTTAGCCTCCTTCACAGCTCTTTGATAGTTAGTTAATGAAGTACATAGTATTTCTAATGACACATGCAACTTATCTTTTTTCTATATACATTCTGTGTGCCGACATACTCGTCTCAGAGCCCGTGTATCAGTATTTAACCATGGCTCTGCCTTAGGTTGAAGTTGCTAACTCCGAAATGGAGCAATAGAGTCTAAAATTTCAGTACAAGTAGAATTAAATCGAGTAAGTTGCTGTTCAGCATCTAAATTATTTGAGGGACAGTCAAGAGAAACCAGCATACAAGCCTCATCAAAATGGGAAACAAAATCTTCACTAAAGGTAGAGCTAAACATAAGTGACCAAATAATATATTTCTTGGCTTTAACAACCTGATCTAAAATAGAACAGGTAAACATCACAGGGTTATGATCCGAAAAAATTAAATCACCAATTTCCAGATCATGAATAGTGATACTGTGTAACAGGACAAGAACAAGAGTATGGCCGAGTGAGTGCGTGGGCTCCATAACCATTTGGACTAAAAGAGTCAATAAGATGTTTTAACTCTTTAGCAAGCGGATTTGTATCACTGCAGACATGAATATTAAAATCACCAACAATCAAAAATCTATCAATCTGAGAAGCAATTATGTCTAAGAAATCATGTATAAAGTCTTTGTTTGGCTTTGGAGGATGGTATACAATAGCAATCGCTAAGATTTTATCCCTTTTCAGATGAAATAACAGTACCTCAAAGCTGGAGAAAGTCTCAGATTTTAAAGTCCGACAAGTGAAGCAGCTTTTAAGAACACAAGCTAAGCCACCATCCTTCCCAGTTGTTCTTGGGCAGTTTAAAAATGTACAGTTTGAAGGTTCATACAGTTTGAAGAATTAAATTTGATCGTGACTTATTTATGCACATGATTTGGACAAGATTATGCTGGGTATGGCTCAGTTTTGGGGTTTCTGGTTAAAGACCAGTAAGACCATACCAGTAATAAAACCTGTTCTGGGCCACTTCAGGGCCAGTTATTAGTTATTAACTGGCTGAGACTTGGCCCAGTTATGGCCCATGTGTGGCCCCTGTCTTTAATTCAGAGTATGGCTACTCCAGGGCCGTCACTGTGGTATGTGGGCTGAGAAAAAAGTGGTTGTGTGGACCGGAGCTGGGACAGAAAACAATTGCTATGTGGGTGTCTTTTTAAATTTGAAAGGACAAATACTCACAAAAATATCCTATATCAAAACTTGTGAACACAGTCGTTATGTCTCGTTGATCTTATTTTCCATATTTACATGCTGCAAAGTTGTGTGATTTTAAATTAAATATTTCACTAATAATTCGCTCACTTTTCTCCTCTAATACTCATTAATATCTGATCTAATAACATGCAAGTCTATAATTTTAATTCCTTTTCATTTATTTGTGCAGATCGGCTTTTTGTAAAAAAAAACAAAAAAACAGCGCACCTCCCTGTTGAAAAAAACAGCATATGATGGTTAGGTATGTTTTGAAGCTGGGATGCTGGTTTGAGCTGGTTTAAGCTGGTCCTTAGCTGGTCATGTGCTGGTCCTAAACTGGTCCGACCAGATTAAAACCAGCACATGACCAGCTAAGGACCAGCATAAACCAGCAAAGGACCATCATAAACCAGCAAAGGACCAGCTCAAACCAGCATCCCAGCTTCAAAACATACCTAACCAGCCTATGCTGTTTTTTTCAACAGGGAGCTTACAGACGCCCTACATAAATTTCCCCACATTTCGCTCCTCTCGACGCTTCACACTCCAGTCCTGCCGGTGGCGCTAAAACACAAACGTTTGTTTGCCAAACACCATTAAACCTCAGAGGAGGAAGAATAGTTTCATCGCGTTCTCTGTTGTTTTGTTGTGATACTGGTTTAATAGAAACTGTTATAAATATTGTGTCTATAATAGAAAAATACAGTTTTTGAGTCAGGCCAGTAACGTAAATGCCTGTAATATTCTCATCCTCACAGTCGTGACAGATTTAAAGCAAGCAGGCCTATCTGGAGGAGTATCTGCTGTGAAGATGGTGTTTGTTAAAGAGAGTGAGGAGAACACGAGTGAACCAAAACCCTGGAGAAAAAAACACGAGGAACCAGAACCCTGGAGAATAAAACAGGAGGAACCAGAACCCTGCAGAATAAAACAAGAGGAACCAGAACCCTGCAGAATAAAACAGGAGGAACCAGAACCCCGGAGAATAAAACACGAGGAACCAGAACCCTGGGAAATAAAACAGGAGGGACAAGGAGGTTGGTGTTTATTGTTCATTCGTCCTTAATGACTGTTTGTGTTACATTAGGCAGACGAAGCTTTAACCCTCTGAAGTCTGAGGTGTTTTGGGGCACTGGAGATGTTTTCACATTCCCTGACATTTGTGTTTTTTTCAGTATCTTAAAAACATATAAATGGCTAAAGTCTGATTACATTGTAATCAGCACAAACTGTGTTACAATCATACGTGAGCAGCATGAATGTAGCCTATACATGTTTGTGAGAAAACAACCAAATTTATGTGTGGTTAGTGAAAAACTAAAATGTTTAAGTCACTGAAATAAGGCCATAAAACACATGCAGAACATTTTGTTCACAAGACTTTTGAGAACTGGGTGTGATAGACTAGAGTTTTTGCTACAAAATTATGTGGATATCATCTTGCTCACTCATTCACAGAAAACAATATGATGATGTTATGATAAATGTTATTTTGAAGAATGTGTGTAACCAAACAGTTGAACAGACTTCCATAGTATTTTTTCCTAATATCAAATGTAGACCAGCTACTAGGGGTGGAACAGTTCAACTTACTCATGGTTCGGTTTGTATCACGGTTTTAGAGTCACGGTTTTGGTACAGTTCGGTATGTGTTATGTTTAGGGAAAACCTATACTGTCAAATAAAAAGAAAGAAAATAAGAATAGTCTACCTAACTACAAGCAACAGCACAAATAAATACAATAGAGTAAAGAGACAAGTAAAATAAACAGTGATTTTCAGTTTTTTTTTAGGCAGGTCTAATGGTTTTTAGTTACAGAAATTGTATAAAGTAATTAAATGTAAAATAGTATTGCATATTTTACCGTATAAATTAAAGATGAATCTTTATTAAAGTTACAAAAGCTATTCAATAAAGAGCAGCGAGTGATTTCCTTGTTGTTGCTTTATGATTAATATTAAGAAAGTGCTGTCATTTTAAGAGAATGCACTGATACAGTACGTTCAGCCGGTTGTGTCTGCAATAGGATATTTACCAAGACAGGCATTTTGACATAATTTTTGTGTGAATTTGTCCATTCAAACACAATACTTCAGAGAGAGCTTAATATTTGAGCGCTTCGGATGAGCTCATGCTAAAATCTTCTCACTGCGCGCGAGCTCGAGTCCTCTGGCTCTTAAATGTTTAAACTGGCAAACATTACAGTACTCGGATTGAACAAGAGTGAATGGTTTGTCCATGTTTCTTTTCATCGCTGTTGTTGTAATGTATTGGGAAGCCAGAATGCGCATCCATCAACAGAAATGTACATTAGCCGAACTCTGTTTGTTTTACATGAACCGTTCCACCTACCAGCTACTGTTTGGTTACCCAAATTTTTCAAAATATCTTCGTTTATGTTCAGCACAAAAAAGATATTAATACAGATTTGGGACAACATGTGAGTTGAGTAAATAATGACAGAAATTTTATTTTAGTGTGAACTATCCCTTTAATGACAGTCGGCAGCAGGTTTAGCACTGTCCTTTTAAGACCTGCATACATCTAATATGCAGGCATGCATCCATTTTGTTCTCAACTGTTTATTTTCATTTTAGACACAACCACCTGTCGTTATATATGTAATTCTTGTAAATATACATAATTATGAAAATACTCGAGATGGCTTGAAGAACACAGATAAGCTGTACGTTGTCACAGTCGAATGTTTGTTTCATCATTCAAAACGTTTCTCTCTTTTAAAGGGTTAGTTCTCCCCAAAATGAAAATTGTCATTAATTACTCACCCTCATGTCGTTCCAAACCTGTAAGACCTCTGTTCATTTCCGGAACACAAATTGGTTACATTGATTACGCTCAGGAGAAAGCGCACACATGCGTCGTGGTGCTCTCCAAAATGACGGAAGACAATGTTGAATAAAGTCGTTAGTTTTGTTTTCGTTGCACACAAAAAGTATTCTCGTAGCTTTGCAAAATTGAAGTTGAGCCACTGATGTCACATGGACTGTTTTAACGATGTCCTTACTACGTTTCTGGACCTGGGAACATTACAGCTGCATTGCTGTTTATGGAGGGTTAGAGAGATCTCAGATTTCATCAAAAATATCTTAATTTGTGTTCAGAAGTTCTGATTGTTTGCATATTGTTTTTAAGACCACAAATAATGATGTACTTGTTCTAATAAATTTATATTGTAATGTACTCATTCTAATATGTTTAAAAATCATATTAGTTATCATTGCACAAATGAGTGTTTAATAAACAGCTGTTTTACTAAATTCTGCTTAGGTGAAATTCAGTGCAGTCATGTATCGTGATACGTATCGTATCGTGGCCTCTGTATCGTGATACGCATCGTATCGCGACTTTGCTGGTGATACACAGCCCTAATGGCTAAGGACTCAGCTGCTCGGATTAAGTTGGGCTGGCCATTCCACCAGGAGGGAACATTTAATTTAAAAGTCCGTAAAAGTGATTTTGTGCCTCTTTGAGATGGCACAAAAATGCGTCGTTCACTTGCAGAACGAAATATCTAGAGGGCACATAACTCTGAAGTAATGAATTTAGGTAAAGGGTGCAGAGGCAGTGGTGGTTTTGTAGGCAAACATTGATGCCTTGAATTTTATGCGAGCAGCTACTGGTAGCCAGTACAAATTGATGAACAGAGGTGTGACATGCGTTTTTTTTCGGCTCATTAAAGATTAATCTTGCATAGGGGTGCTCCGATTGATCGGCCGATAATTACGTTGGGATGTTTGATCGGCGGTCTTTAAAAAGCAGATCTCAAAAAAACTATCTCAAGCTGATGAGGCTGTCGTGAGAGGTTTGGCACGACATGCAGCGGCACCCTCTCAGTCTGTTTGGCGCGGGTGAAATAATTATAATGCTGAAGGTGAGGTACGCACCTTCATATTTCTTCATTAAATAACTTATAAAGTAATTTGAAAACCTTGTGTGAGACGTAATTTCCAAACAGCGTGAGTGAATCATCGTGCGCGCTCTCTCTCTTTCTCTCTCAAAATACGCAAATGGCTTCAAATCACCACACATCGCGTCTGTCCATAAGGGAGCTGCATGCTGCACAGTTGACACAGGAATTGTCACTTGCACAATCGAGGCAGTGTCACATCGTCACTAAAGTTTATAAATTGCATTACTTTTGAATTCTTACCAGTATTTAACCATTCAGCGATCGTGCGCTCATGCACACTCGCAGTGCACACACATAATGCCAGGTTCACATTACTCCGTTTGCAGTGCATA